TTTACTGCCTCTGTGCTCCCAAGCATGCACCAGTTTCTGATCCAGATCCAAACCCAAGTCAAGGTGTTGCCTGTGATTTAGAAAGGGCGTTCTGCTTCAGGGCCCATATCTAAGGGCTGTCAGCTGGCAGAGCACAAAGAGCCACCAAGCAGCAGCTGGGGCCTGGGCTGGGCATGGAGCAGCCCTAGATATAGAAATCAGCACTGCTGGGATCACTCAGGAGCTGTTTTAGTCTCACCTTACTCATGGAGATCCTTGGGGAGATGCTTTATTTACTCAAACATTTCTGAAAGGGAGACTGAGAAACTAGCCAGGCTTTGCTCCACACATGGCACATGTCTGGGAGGGAAAAAACTCTGTTTCTGTGTCAGGCACCACTGAAGACACTGGGACCTGCAGCTTCGGCAGAGCAAAGTTCTCCAGTTCCAGTTGCCAGTTCCTGGATGGCTTGTCTGGGAGACAAGGAGCTGACCTGGCCACGAGGACCCAGCCGCCCCAGGTCCTCTCCAGACGAAATCCTGTATGAGAGGATTTGAGAGAGCACCCAGAACTGTGTCACCCTTGTGAGAGGTCAAAGCTGTCTGCAGCACAGTGACCATTCCCCATCTGCAGAAACTCAAGGCAAGAAGGAAGCAAGTTTTTGCTCTTCTGCATACCCAAAGAAGTGTGATTTTCTGAAGGTGGTGAGAAACAGTTTCAGACAGCTCTAATTAGCAAGGTGGTGTGTGAGAAAATCCAGCTTTGCTGCTCTGTGCTCCACAGCTGTCCTGGGATGAAGGGAGAGTACCATCACCAGAGGCTAGAGCCCACCCACACCCCTCCCCTGTGCCTGCCTGGCTTCCAATGATCTGCAGGATAGTGAAGAGTGATATTTTTGCATGAGCTGCTGGTCCAAAGTTGCCAGTGCTATTTCAGGCAGCAACACCTACACTGTAATCCAAAGGGCTGTATTTTCCAGCGGGCACTTCAAAATCCGACCTCCCTCCTCCCCTCACAGGCCAGCTCTAACCAACCTGGCCCCAGAATAAACAGCTCCCAGCATCAGGCGGCCACTGAGGCCAATGCCACAGCCCCAGCACATTCCTGATTGCCACTGGGACCAAGACACCTTCGGACTGGAAATAAAATAAATACCTCATCTCACAAGAAGTACCAGCTACAACAACAGGTCCTCTGCCTGCAAATCCTCCCAGGGATCTGCCACCACCAGATTACCTGCCCAGGCTAAGCTAGCTAATCCTACAGGCGAGTGGCAGACCTCGTCCTGGAGCTCAGCAGCGTTTTCGGTGAAGTGCTTCAGGAGACATACAAGCTCTAATTAAAGCTACTTTGCAAATCCCTGCATATGGAGGCAGGAGGACATTTGTTCCTCTGTGAAAGCAGAGATCGGAGCCTGGACAGGTTAAATCCCCACTCTCCTGTGTACAAAATATCTGCACATAAATATTTCACACAGGTAGAGAGGACTCATGCAGAGTGGGAAGGAGATGCTGACACAAGCTACCCCTAAAGACCAGGAGGATGAGGACCACAAGCCCCTTCTGGATTCAGATCAGGAGTTGTTCCAGTGGGGATAATGCTACCAGCTCCTTCACCAGTGAAAGCCAGCGCCGTGTCTTGCACCTATTTCCTCCTCCTTGATCTGTGCATGTAGGCACAAAGGAGATATGAGACCATCCAAAATTAAGGAGCTAGAAGATACAAAGAAAAGAGACAGGAGGAGAAGCAATAACAGGAATCGTTATATAACAGCATGAAAAAAACCAATAATACTCCCAGTGCAAAAGAGGTTTCAAGATGGACAAGTGGGTGGTGAGACCTGCAGAATGCCAGGCCTCAGGACCAGCTGCTCCCTCAGTGTCAGAGAGATGAAAACCATGGCTGGGCAGAGCTGCAGAGGCTGCACCCCTCTGGGGTTTGCAGGTGGGGAAGTTCCAGCCTTCAGAGCCTGCCCAGCAGTGAGACGGCCAAAGTGAGAATCCCCCTCCCTGGATCTCTGCCCAGAGGGCGCACAAGAAGCAGCCCAGCTCAGAACCCACACACAGCAGGCACCAGACTGGCATTCCTGTTCTGTCCCCCACACCCCAGGCCATCCTTCTCTCACCTCAGTCCTCCTGGCTCTGCACAGAGAGGGTCTGGGTCCCATGCAGAGTTTCAGCACCCACTTTCTCTCCTCCAAGTGAGATGTGCAAACAGCAGAGACTGCTCCTTGGAGAGAGACATGGATGCTCCCATCACAGGTCTAGTCCTGCATCGCTTCCCGGACCTTGGCACGCAGCAAGAGCAGGAGACACACAGCATCTTAGCCAGTGAGAAGGGGATGAATCACTGGAAAACAGACCCAGGCACAGAGCCAGAGCAGGGAGAAGATGGTCCTGTGAGGCCTCCATCTTTGGAAGTGGGGGAATTGGAGTGATCAGTGCCACAAGGTCCTCCCTTCCCACTCAGAAGTGACCTCAGCTTCTGTCTCCCAGCTCTGTAACATCCCTCACACAGCTGCAGCCCAACTGTCCCTCAGAGTGCTCCTTGTGCCCAGACATTCACCCCCTGCCAGCTCTGGTGTTCTCAACACCCCCATGAGCAGCAAGAATGGGAAATACCCCTGCATCCTTTTGCATCTCCCCTCCCAGCACAAGCCACAGAGCAGGAAGGCAAACTGTGGGTTCCCAGTTCACACACCTTTCCAGCAGCTCAGGTGCTACAAATCAGAAAATCCTGCCAGGAAAGTCACCTTCAGAAGTAACCTCACAGATGGACCAAGAGCATGAAGTGCTCAGGGAACCACCAGTTCAGCAAGCTGAGACTCCCATTTCATCTTCATCACCAAACCAAACCACAGCTATGACATTTCCCAACCACCAGATTTTATTTTTCCTTTGGAATCTGCCATCGAGCTCTGCTGAGACAAGGCTCCCACAAATCTGCAGTGTCCCTCAGCCAGGGAGCCCGTCAGAGCCACACAGAAACAAAAGCATCAGCTCCAAGGAGGTGTCACGACAGAATGACAATCCTTAACTTGTTGTTACATCAGCCCACACATTAACACTTTGGACCTGAGCCAGGATGCCACGGAGCAGCCTCCATTCCCCTTCAAGTCAAACCCTGCTGCTCAGAGATGCACGAGTTCAGAATCCTTTTTGATTTAAAAAAAAAAAAATTAAAAACAATAAAAGACACATACCTTTTGCTGTGTTTTCCCCTGACAATGAGACCACAGTCCTGAGAAATCCCCACATGTACTTTCCTCTTGTCTCTACCACAGCTCTTTCACTGAATCCTCTCTGTCCACGATGGCCCATATACAGATGCACATGAAATTAGTGTCTCCCAAATTAGTTTTCTTGCACACAGTCCTAGCCCATTTTCCTCAACAACATATTATGATATGCAAGGTTCCACCTTTCTCCCAGGAAACGCAAGCTTCTAAATTTATCTTTTGGATAACTAAAAAAAGAGACAGGTCTAGCTTTCACAATGCGGGGTCAGCAGTCCCGAATAGCAGAGTATTTGCCCCAGAAACACGCAGCTAATAACACAGCAACAACCACCACAGAGCGGTACACATACGGTCATTACAGAGCTAAGTATAACTTGACAAAGTACCTTGCTTTTAATGAGGCAAAAGGCCAATTAACCTGATGAGGATGCAGTGTACTGACATTGAGTGGGGAGCCTGGATTCCCTGGAGCTGCACCCTGTATATCCTCGTAACACAGCAAACACGAGGAATTCAAACCCTTGCTGAGGGCACAGCACTCAGAGCTCTCCAGCTTCACATCATCCTTCCCCAGATTTTGTGACACAGTATCCAGCATTCAGGCTGGATGAAGGGCCAGCCGTGCATTTTTGTCAGCTCAGATCCAAACCCTGGGAAAATGCAGGCATTGTCCTCGCCCGGTCCCCACCGCCCAGCCCTTTGCAGGTGTTCACCTGCCAGAGGACAGCAAGGAAAATCCAGGAACAAAAGCAGGGACGCTCCGGTGGGCACTTCCCGTTGAAGTAATTTCATAACTGCATTTCCAGAGGTGCTGGAAGAGCAGCACAAGCCACCGCACGAGAGCCGTGATCGGAGACACCGAAATGCGCGGAACGAACAAAAGAAAAACCAACTTCCCCCCGCAAGGCCGTTATTTTGGAAGACGCAAAACTTCCCGGCTCTTGGGGCACACCTGGAGCGCTGCCCTGTCCCAGCCCCGCATCCCGGGCCCGGCCCCTCCGCAGCAGGGAACGCGCCCGGGGCGGGGGTCGCGGCCGGAGTCACCGGAGCCCCCGCAGGCCGGCAGCTCTCCCGGCAGGGCTGCCACGGCCGAGGCCCCCGAGGGGAGAGGCACAGGGGCGCTGGGACCGCGCTCAGACCGCGGGCTCCCGCGCGGCACCGCCGAGCGCCGGGCGGCCGCGGGCTGCGGGCACTCCCCGCACCGGGCCCGGGGCTGCGCTGCTGGCGCGGCGCCGGGCCGGGGCTGCGGGACCTTGAGCCGGGCGAGCGAGGAGCCCCGGGGCCGGGGGATGGGGGGAGCGCGGCTGCGGCTGCCGGGCCGCGCGGAACGCATCGTATGGTATCGCATCGCATCGCATCGCATCGCATCGCACCGCATCTCCCCCGGTGCAGGCGCGGCTCCCGGGGCCCACCGGTAGTGAAGTGGGGGGTGATCGCCGGGCACCTGTCCCCCTCAGGTCCGAGCGGTACGGACCTGTCGCCCCGCGGCTGCCCGGGACGCGGGCCAGCGCTCCCCGCCGCCGCTCCGCCATCGCCCCCCGCCGCCGCTCCGCCATCGCCCCCCGCCGCCCCCCGCCGCCGCGGCGCGGCCCGTACCGCAGTCGGCGCAGAGGATCCGCGCCACGTCCCGCTTGAGGTTCTTGCCGCTGGTGTCGAGCGGAGCGAAGGCGGTGCGGAAGACGAGCGGCTCCTCGGTGGGCTCCAGGAAGAAGATGTAGTCGCCCCCCGCCGCCGCTCCGCCATCGCCCCCCGCCGCCCCCCGCCGCCGCGGCGCGGCCCGTACCGCAGTCGGCGCAGAGGATCCGCGCCACGTCCCGCTTGAGGTTCTTGCCGCTGGTGTCGAGCGGAGCGAAGGCGGTGCGGAAGACGAGCGGCTCCTCGGTGGGCTCCAGGAAGAAGATGTAGCGGTGGTTGCGCTTCACTTTGAAGCAGGGCGCCTTGGAGCCCACGCTGATGAGCTGCTCCCGCTGCAGCCCCCCGCTGTTGAGGGGCCACAGGTCGAGCACCTTGACCAGGACACCCCCGGCGGGCCCGGCGCCGCGGCTGTCATTGCCGCCGGCGGGGGGGCCCACGGACTGCACCTTGCCCTCCAGCACCACCGCCGCCGTGTACGCCTGGTCCTGCACCGACTTGAGGCTGGGCGAGTAGCAGGCGAGGGAGACGCCGAAGAGCAGCATGGAGAAGCCGGGCGCCGGGTCGCGCCTCATGCCGCCGGCTGCCGCTCGCTGCCCGCCGGCCCTGCGGCGGCGGCCGGGCTGCG